ATTACAGCCTGCAAGCAGCAAACAGATCAATGCACTTAGTCATATTCTGTCCACTGCAGAAAATGTGTGTGTGAGGGGGCTTCTATCTTCTTTTGGTTCCTCCAAAACCTAAAGAACAAAAAACAAACAGGAGTCAGTCAGTTGTAGCCATTTGCACTGAACACTTACTGGCATGCTCATTGAAAACACAGAAAAGGGAGGAATTGTTCTTTTATTGTGGGTGCGGTGATCCTGCTTCTGTGCTTGGAGATATTAATGCTTATATCATTATAACATGTAATATAAAGTTGTTTGGGGTTGTTTGTATGGATGTAACTGATGTGTTTGTTCATTCACTTAAGAGCAGCTAAACCAGCAGCTTAATGGCTCAGACACACAGTCATGCAGCAAAATGTATCAACTGGTCTAACATCATTTATCAAACTAGCTAGCATCAGCTGTGGTGCACAGCTTGACATGAGCATGACATTAATAGCACTAATGGTTCTCTCAGTTAGTTTTTAAACCAAGAAAAAAACAATTTAATTCACGTAACTAAGCAGGTGAATCAGCAGATCAATGTGACCGTGTGGATGGAGGCACAGCTTTAAAAACCAATTAATATCCTGCTCTGATCAGCTAAGACTGGTATTCACACTCAGACGCTTTATTAGGTTCACATGTTCAAACTGCTCGTTAAACCAGGTATCTAATCAGACAGTTACAGGCTGAAGTTCAAACCAGCAGAAGACCACTCCAAGTTTTACACTACAGCTCACGTGAAGACTGGAAAAACCTGCGTCTTGATTTCTGCTGAAACGTTCAGAAGGTAGAGTCAGAATTTGGCATGAAAGCATAAATCCACCCTTGCTTGCATTGAGGCTTCTGGCAGTGGCGGTATAATGGCGGGGGGATATTTTCTTGGCACACTTTGGGCTCCTTACTACCAACTACGAATATTTTTACGCCACATCTTACCCAAGTTTCTCTGTGGGTCTCATATTTCAAATGCATTAAAATTACATGAGCAGTAATTTTAATAATAGAAATTCAACGCTCTGAATCAACGTCAGAATGGTCATGTCTGCTTCATTTGTCATGAAATAAAAAGGGACCAGGTCTCACCGGAAAGTACTCATCAATTCTTCCATTAATTTGGACTGTCTATAAAACTGCCTGTAATGCAAATCTTGGGAAAACCCTTGCAATTAAAGCTGAAAGTCTGCATTTCAATCAAGAATTGATTTTTTTAAAATTTACAATCCACTGTGGTGGTTTACAGAGACCAAAAAAAAAGTGTCTTTCTCCAAAACATTATGGCGTATGACCACAGAAAAGTTCTGATGGACAGGATTAACACACTATATTGGAAAGGTAGGACAAATTGATTTCTTGGACAAACTGTGTCGAGCTGACCTGGATAGGTACTAATGGAAAAGGGCTATAAGAATCACAAAGGTAGGTAGGTAACATGTGCAAACTGTTTCTGTGTCCCTTCTAATAAGATGCAGTCTTGGTACCTGAAGTAACGCGTGTCCCGGAAGAGGGAGATTCTCTGGCAGGTCTGTTAGTGTGAGTGGAGTAGTTAGAATTGTACGGCTGGCCCCTGCAGAATACATGAGATGGAACACAGCATGAATATCCTGAAGACAGGAAGGTGAAACATAAGTCCATAGTCCCCGTTTTCCATTATTCTCTCTCTTTCCACCCCTTTACTAACCTCTGACCACCAAAAAGATATCCAAGCACCCCGCCTGTTCCCATTCCAGTCCAGAAACCACCTCCTGTGCCGGGAGCTGCCCGGCCTCCTGGGTACTGGTGTCTGTGAGTGTAATCACTGTGGAAACCATAACTGGGGTTGGCTCCAGGGTAGTCTGAGCAGAAAACAAGAACTGATCAAAACTTTT